TCATAAATGCCTATAACCAAAAGTCAAAAAGATCACAAATAGACAGTCTAATGAATCAACTCAAAGAGCTGGAAAAAGAAGAACAGACCAACCCCAAACCCAGCAGAAGAAGAGAAATTAACTAGACCAAAACAGAACTAAACGAAATTGACAATAGGGAAGCTATACAGCCGATTAATAAAACAAAAAGTTGGTTCTTCAAATAAATAAAGAAAATTGACACGCCTTTGGCTAGGCTAATGAAAAGCAGAAAAGAGAAATCACTAATAAGCTCCATCAGGAACAAAAAAGGAGACATCACAACTGATCCCAAGGAGATACAAGCTATAATTTACAAATACTACAAAAGCCTTTATGCACACAAACTGGAAAATGTGGAGGAAATGGACAAATTTCTAGAAACACACAGCCACGCTAGGCTCAACCAGGAAGAAATAGAATTCCTGAACAGACCAATCTCAAGAGCATAAATAGAAACAGCAATTAAAACTCTTCCTAAAAAGAAAAGTCCTGGCCCAGATGGTTTCACACCCAAATTTTACCACATTTATAAGAAGAACTGGTGCCTATCTTGCAGAAAGTATTCGACAACATTGAGAAGAATGGGAACCTCCCCAACACATTTTATGGAACAAACATAACCCTGATACCAAAACCAGGAAAGGATGCAACAACAAAAAAGAAAACTACAGACCAATATCCCTTATGAATATAGAAGCAAAAATTTTCAACAAAATCCTAGCAAACCGAATCCAGGTGCTTATCAAGAAAATAATCCATCATGATCAAGTGGGCTTCATCGCAGGGATGCAGGGATGGTTCAACATGTGTAAATCTATAAATGTAATTCACCACATAAACTGAAGCAAAAATAAAGACCATATGATTGTTTCAATAGATGCAGAAAAAGCTTTTGACAAAATTCAACACCCTTTCATAAGAACACTTAATAAAATAGGCATAGAAGGGACAAACCTAAAAATGATACAAGCCACATACGACAGACCCATAGCCAACATCACACTGAATGGGGAAAATTGAAAGCATTCCCACTCAGAACTGGAACCAAGTAAGGCTGCCCACTACCTCCACTTCTATTCAACAACTTGCCGGAAGTCCTGGAACTAGCAATCAGACATGAAAGTAGAATTAAAGGTATCCAAATCAGGGCAGAAGAGATCAAACATTCACTGTTTGCTGACCATATGATATTATATTTAGAAAACCCCAAGGATTCAACCAAGAGACTTCTGGAGTTGATAAATAAATTTAGTAAAGTCTCAGGATACAAAATCAATAGGCATTCATATACACCAACAACAATTAAATTGAGAACCAAATCAAAGACTCAATACCCTTCACAATAGCAACAAAGAAAATAAAGTACCTAGGAATATACTTAACCAAGGAGGTAAAAGACTTCTATAGGGAGAACTATGAAACACTGAGGAAGGAAATAGCATAGGATGTAAACAGATGGAAATCCATACCATGCTCCTGGGTCGGCAGACTCAACATTGTTAAAATGTCTATACTACCCAAACTGATCTACAGATTCAATGCAATACCTATTAAAATCCCAACATCATTCTTCACAGATATAGAAAAAATAATTTTATGCTTCGTATGGAACCAGAGAAGACCCGCATATCAAAAGCAATTCTAGGCAATAAAAACAAAATGGGAGGTATTAATAATATGCCAGATATCAAACTATACTACAAAGCTGTAGTAATTAAATCAATTTGGTATTGGCACAAAAACAGGAATATTGACCAGTGGAACAGATCTGAGAATCCTGATATAAAACCATCCTCCTATAACCATCTAATCTTTGACAAAGCAGACAAAAACATATTCTGGGGAAAAGAATCCCTTTTCAATAAATGGTTCTGGGAAAACTGGATAGCCACCTGTAGAAGGCTGAAGCAGGATCCACATCTTTCACCTCTCACAAAAATCAACTCATGCTGGATAACAGACTTAAACCTAAGGTATGAAACTATTAGAACTCTAGAGAAAAATGTTGGAAACACTCTCCTAGACATAGGCCTAGACAAAGAATTTATGAAGAAGACCCCAAAGAAAATCACAGCAGCAACAAAAATAAATAAATGGGACATGATCAAACTACAAAGCTTCTGCACAGCCAAAGAAATAGTCGTGAAAGTAAACAGACAACCTACAGAATGGGAGAAAATTTTTGCATCCTACACATCTGAGAAGAGGCTGATAACTAGAATCTACTTGGAACTCACGAAAATCAGCAAGAAAAAATCAAACAACCCTATGAAAAATTGGGTAAAGGACATGAACAGAAACTTTTCTAAAGAAGACAGAATAATGGCTAACAAACATATGAAAAAATGTTCAATATATCTAATCATCAGGGAAATGCAAATCAAAACTACAGTGAGATATCAATTATTTCCAGTAAGAATGGTCTTTATCAAAAAATCCCAAAACAATAGGTGTTGGTGTGGATGCAGAGAGATAGGAACACTCCTACACTGCTGGTGGGATTGCAAATTAGTCCAGCCTCTATGGAAAGCAATATGGAGATACCTTAAAGGGATACAAGTGGATCTACCATTTGATCCAGCAATCCCATTACTGGGCATCTACCCAAAAGATCAAATGACACTCTGCAAAAAAGACACCTGCACTCAAATGTTTATAGCAGCACAATTCACAATTGCAATGCTAGGTAAACAACCCAAGTGCCCATCAATTCATGAGTGGATTAATAAAATGTGGTATATGTATACCATGGAGTACTATTCAGCTCTAAGATATAATGGTGATATAGCATATCTTCTATATTCCTGGATAGAGCTGGAACCCATACTACTAAGTGAAGTATCCCAAGAATGGAAAAACAAGCACCAGATATACTCACCAGCAAACTGGTATTAACTGAGCGGCAACTAAGTGGACACATAGGAACTATGTTAATTGGGTATTAGGAGGATGGAAGGGAGGAGGAGGGGGCGGGTATATACATACATAATAAGTGAGATGTGCACCGTCTGGGGGATGGTCACGCTTAAAGCTCAGACTTGTGGGGGGAGGGAGGGCAAGGACATTATTTCAAACCTTAAAATTTGTACCCCCATAAGATGCTGAAATAAAAAAAGAAAAAAAAAGAAGTGTGTATATGTGCATGTGCTTGCAAATGTACTTCCACAACCTCACTTGCACTCCCACTTGGTAACTTGCCAATTTTTCCAAATATGAACACAAAATGTTTCCCACTTTATTATCCACAAGACAGGCCCCACTACTGAAGGAATCCTCATGGCATTGCTGTGGTAAGCTTTGCAAAACTTCTTGAAGCAGCAGCAGCCTGGATGACAAGGAATCCAACTCCACTATAGATGCAGCCTGGGAAATATCTTGGGTACAGGCAGGAGCTTGAGAAGTAGGAGCCCTGGTTTCAGATCACTTCCCAAAATAGAACCTGGGAAACCTAAGGACCCCAGAACTCAGTTACTATCACTCATTTTTTTCCTGTGTGATACAGTCCCAGGAAGCTGCTCACTGCCCCAAAGCAGGGGAGCTGATGGTCATTACCATTTGTTTATCCTTTTCTAGGAACTACGATAACTGCTTTTTGAATGCCATCAACTCAATTAAGCCTCCCAATAACCTTAGGTACAGGGTAAGTGTAATTAAATACTTTTCAGTTTACTGAAAGAGGCTCAGAGTGATTTCATGATAAAGCCAAGGTCACACAGTGACTTAGTCGAGCAGTAAGGAATCAAGCTGAGTTCTACCAGGTTTCAGGCAGCATGCTCTATAGTCCCAGGGCCTCACCTAACATCTGGCCTCCAACCCATTCAAACAAACGAATGAATGAATGAATGAACCATGAGTGTCCCGGGAAGGGGCATGGTGGTCCTCATCAACCCTGTTCTCCCCACTCTAGCCACCCCCCACAGACTTGTGCTGAGGACAGGTGGCTCAGGCCATGCTGACTGACCCTCTCCTTCCGTGCGGAGGCGCCTGTGAGACTGTGGGCTCCTGGGGCCTCCCCAGAGCTGCCGTCAGCACAGGAGCCGGCTCTCCGAGCTGCCAGCCCTGCGGTTGCCCTGTCTTCCTCTGGCTCCAGCTGGGCCCAAATCCACATGAAGAACCTTTTTGCACATGTGCAAGGATTGGCTCAGGATCGGTCTGGCTGCAGCCACAGGACGAGGTGAGTTGGCTTCCAAGTCAGAAGACAGCAGTGAGTGGGGCCAGTAGGGAGAAAGCCTTTTGGCAACTAAAGACTCTTCCTAAAAATAAAAGCAAAGTCTTCACATCACTTTAGGAAACTTCTCCCTCCTTGACTTTACAATGAACACTGGAATAAGCAAAAGCACTCCAGTTCTCCGTGGAACTAGGGCGGAAGTCCTTTTGGCTGAGAGCAGGAGTGAGAACCCGGCGACCTGGCACCCAGCAACAGCAGCCCTGGCTCAGTGTCCCTTGGCTCCCCTGATGGCTCCTCTCACCTCTCTCCACTTTAGGATCACATGTGGCTCCTGGTCCCTAAATAGGAAGTGGCAGAGAGGCCTGAGGGCCCCCAGGAGCAGGTGGGGCTGCAGGGCTGGAAGGGAAGGGCAGATCCTGCTCCTGGAAAGAGCAGTGGAGAGGCGCCCCTTCGCCTCCGGGACGGCGGCTGGCCTTGGGGCCTGTGGGGCCTGCAAGGGCAGGGCGAAGGGGACAGAACCAAGATTATCAAGAGTTCACAGTGCAAGATTCAAGAGCATTTTGGCCCCTGTATGTCTGCAGTGCTTTGGAGAATCGTATCAAGTGCTTGCCCTAATTTCTTTCCACCTAGCAAGCGCAATGGCAGAGAGCACTGGCACAATCTCAAGGTGTGATGGTGTCCTAGTTGGTTTTGTGCTGCTGTCACAGTAACCTGGGACTGGATAATTTATAATGAACAGAAATTTACTTTCTCACAGTTCTGGAGGCCAGGCAGTCCAGGATGAAGGCGCTGACATCTGGTGAAGGCCTTCTGGCTGTGTCATCATGTGGCTGAAGGGGAGAGGCAAAGACAGCAAACCCTCTTTAAAATGGCATTCACCCACTCGTGATAGCTCTGCCCTTGTGACTCAGTTTCCTCTTAAAGGCCCCAACTCTCAACACTCTCACACTGGGGGTTGGTTCCAACCTATGAATTCTGGAGAGGACATGAACATTCAAACCATACTGGATAAAAGGTTGATTTTGCTTTAAGCAACTCTGAGGCCATAGTCCTCACTGCAATGAGACATCTTGCTTCCAGATTCCTGTATCTTGACAGCCGCCTCCTTGATGGGGTCCTGATGTTGCCTCCCCTGCATCCCCTGGGTGAGTTCCTGTGGCCGCAGAAGAAGCACATCCCTAGGGCCTGGGAGTCTGCACATCCAGTGGGGAGGGCCAGTGTGGCCCTGCGTGTCTGGGGTCAGGGGCTCTGTCCTGACAGATTTGGACACACTCTAATGAGCATTCCCTGTGGGGACTGAAGAAAAAGATATCATGTCCTGGAAGACAGTAATCAGCTCCTACATTTATTCTACTACTGATAACAGTATTTCTGACAGAGTAATAATTTTAACATGAAACAAAAACCTACACAGAGGCATTACTGGCATCCCAATTCCAAGGGGAGCAGCCACATGAATAGGACGTGCCAGGAGAACTGCAGTGTATCTAAGGCCGCTGGGGAAGCACAAACCACTGGCCTTGCAGGCAAGGAACAACAAACTCTGGGGAAAGGAATTAAAGGAAATCCGGGCTCATCGTGTGATCATGGCCTCATCTTCCTGCCACCCGAGCACGGGACTCCCTCCCAACAACTTCCCTAACCTACGACTCCCCTTTACAATTGCAAGACTTTCTTACAGGTGCCAGGGCATTAGAAATTCTCCAGTTTCTAAACTTAAAAGTGTCTTCAACTCTCATCCCATCCTTTGGGGCTTTTCCTAGCAAAATTAGGCAAAGGAGAAAGCTTGCCTCTGCCTGGCCTAGTTAAGTCAAGGGCTGGCCAAGGAAACAAATCCAGAAAGATATGACTGTTACCTGCTAGAGGGAGGGGGGGGGGCATTTTGCAGAAGGAGGGAGAAGTGCCGTGTATTTTTCTGGATAGACAAAACAGCCGGGGTCAGTAGGATGGTCTAGTGACCTAAAGACACAAACCCATGGAGGGTCCTCTCCTCCATGTCAGGCCCCCATCTGGTGCCATTTGCTCTCTTCCTGGCCTCACTCTAATTTCAGAGGCTCAAGCCCCGTGTGTCTGGGGAGAAGAGATCAGGTGAACCCTGAAGACAGAGATGTGCTGTCACTCACCTGTTCTTGTAGGCTCCTCCTCCTCAACTTGACCGTGATGAGTTGGGATCCTTCAAGGCTGGATCCCAAGGCGGACGCTCTGAGGTCTGGGCAAGCCCAGTCGCGCCTGTCGCAGGCCGGGCTGGCAGTGGGGAGGGCGCAGCGCTCGACTACTTCGAGGTGACGCTCAAAGGCCAGGAGTAGGAGGACAAGGAAGAGGCCGTGGTGGGGGCATAATTCTGCTGCGGAGCCGAGGCTCAGAGGGACCCGACGGGAGAAGACCTGCCACCTAGCCCCAGCCTGCTGGGGGCGGGCGGCGCTGGCTGTGGGGAGCCCGCAGCAGGTGTCTTGGGGACAGGAGCCCCTGGTGGGCAACAGCGGGGGAAGCGGGCGGGCAGGCGCCGAGACCCGTCCGGGCGGCCACAGCTCGCTCGCACGTCTTGGAGCAGCATCCTCGCACCCTGGACCTGAGCCCTTCAGAGAAGAGCAACATCCTGGAGGCCGGGAGCGAGGGGCTGCTGTTCTGCAGGACGGCAGAGCCGAGAGCCATCCTCACCCAGCTCAGGCTGGATGTGGGGCCAGACCCAGACTCCAACCCAGACCCTGCCGGAAGGCCAGTGGAGACCGTCAGTTCTCCTTGACCCCGAGAACAACCCAAAGCACAACCCATCCCTCCCTAAAAGGAGCCGTTCCAGGGCACTTGGCCCCCTCTAGCTTCCTGCTGCCCCTGCTGCAGAGCCAGGGAATAGGCCCGTGGTCAGAGGTGGAAGGAGCTCCCTGGGGAAGAGCCAGGCAGGAAGAAAAGAGGCAGACCTGTGACCAAAACCTGGACCCTGAGCCAGAACCCCGTCGCCCGCCTCACCCACAGAGACTTTCGCAGCAGCAGCCGAGGTGGACGCTTCCCTGAGGGCCGCTTCCCTCCTGGCTTCCTCCCGCAGCTTGCTCCCACACCCAGCTCAGGGCTCCAAACAGCAAGGACTCCCCTGAGCGCAGAGGCTGCAGAAGCAGGCCCACCCCAGCCAGCTCGGCTCCGGGCTCCAGGTTATCCATGTGCTGTGCCCCCAGCAATCAGCCTGCAAGACTGGTCCCACCAAGGGTGTGGAAGCAAGTGACACCCCAGATGGCCTGCAGTTCTGAAGAATCCAACTCCACTGTAGGGGAAGAGCCAAAGGCGGGGAGCCGGTGTAAATTCTTGCTTTCCTGGGGTGGGGGGAGAGAGGATGTGGAGGAGGAGGCAGCATGGCCCTTTGCTTATAACTCACAGCTGTCTAGCCTGGCCACCCGGTGGGGAGGGTAAGACCAGGTGCCAGGGCAGGATGGGAGTAGGGCAGCATCCACTGGTACCTTGGGGCACTGGAAACTGTCTGCCCTGGCCAGGCCTGAGGGCAGCTGAGGCTGGCAGGGGCGGCTTAGGCTGCCACGGTGGGTATTGAGCTTGTGGAGAACACCCGCACCATCCTGCCTGACCCAGACCTCTGTCCCCGCAACCTCCTCCCACCCTCTCAGCACCCACCATTCTCCCCTGGCACAGTGCCTTGCAGGAGAGGTGGTTGTAACAGGGTTTGAACTGAGTCCCACTACCTTGGGGAACACTTCCCGTGGCCCTCTTGTTCAAGCTCCTGATCCAGGAGGCCTCGATTACCTCTTCCTGCCCATCCCTGCAGAGGGCCAAAGGAAGCGGCTTTCTTGGGTGCTCCATTCAGTCCTGCTCTCCTTTCCTCTATTTTGCTGTCATATAAATCATCTTTGTTGACAATAATTTTTTTTATTGAAAAAAAAAGATATTCCCCTGCCCTTCTCAACCACTGGCCTGACGCAGGGATGCAGGTCCTAGTTCTCCAAAAGGAGTCGAGATGTTTTTAAAAAGACATAAAATTTTGCCATTTTTTTCAAGCCGTTTCTTTTGTTACATATTCCCCCTGCCAATATTGCCTTCCACATCTATGGGAGCAGGGGCCACCACTCTGGGGAGAAATTCTGTTGAGGGGCAATAAAGGATTACCAGGGAGAATGAATGGCTCAGGGAACAGAGATGAACTTGTACACAGTTTTCTTTGGAATTTCATCCTAAGAGACAGACATTACTGTGTGAAAGTGTCTGTTCAGGTGTGTTGATATTGTGTTTTTCTTTTCTGCAATAGATAATGTGAATACAGGGAGGGGAAAAAAAAGAAACAATTGTTCTCCTTGGTGAGAACCTGTGGCCCTGGGTTCACATGTGGACTTCTGGATCCTTGAGTGTGGCCTTTAGACTAAATCCAAACTTTAAAGAACAAATCCTTTTAATAAAGGGATTGGTTCTGTGAAGTTTGGACTTGGTTGAGGGGCTGCACCTGGGGATCTGGAGGGCCACATGTGGCTTTGAGGCCACAGGTTCCTCACCCCAGACAAAGGAACTTCAGAGAACAACTGCGTCCTATGCTTTGGGAGAGATGGGGGTGCAGTTGGGGAGAACTTGAGGCTGCTGTTTCAGTTAAGCGTGTCACAGCACCATGTTGTGGGTACTGATTTCTGAGCCCCAGCACTTGGAAGTGGCAATGTGAGCCAGGATCGGGCCAGCCTCCTCTGGTGTACCCAATTGTGATGATGGATAGATGAAGTTACGGATCACACGGGAACGGCAGCAAATATGGAGGAGCAGGGGGGAAGAGGAGAGCAGTAAGTGAATAACAGGTGCTGAAAAGCTCTGCTTTGGGGACAAGAGATGAATGGGGTTGATGGGAACTATTGTTAAGTCTGAAGCCTCCTTAGATCATGGGTAGAAAAATAGCAGGCCAAAATGTAAGCTGAACTTAATTTCAAAATTTGGCTTTCCCGGTAAAATAGAGTCACATTTCCATTTTTTTTTTTCAGTTTTCATTTTCCTTCTCAAAATGTCCCTGTTGTAAAATATAGTAAAATGAAATGGTTATTAGCAAGGGTCAAAATCAGACTTCCAGGGGTCAAACCCTTGTTATTTCATTATACATGTGGCCTGAGGCAATTTGCTTCAATTCCCCAACTTCACTTTTTTCCAGTTATAATTTCCAGTTTCCCCTATTGTTGTGAAAATAATTTGAAACAATGCAAGTAAGGAACTAGAAAAATGGAAGGCCCACAGTACTCAATAGATGGCTGTTACTTGGGATTTTTACTCTGATTATAATTATTAATCACTGGGCCCTCTGTGAGGTTCTTTTGCGGTTTTCCAATTAACAGGAAGATCATAAGCTTGCCGAAGACTTACTCCAGCCAGCAGGTCCTCCGTGGTTTGAAGGCTGCTGGTGAACTGGTTACTTTTGTCAGCAATTCTAATGCCAGGTATTTTTTTTTTCTCCGCACTAACTGACCCAACTTCTGCAGGATCGCAGCAAGGCAAATGTGAGAATGGTGATGCTAAAACCTTCTTGAGAACCAAGCTAGTTCTTTTTCTCTTTCTAAATATTTCCTGGCTGAGAACGAAGGTTTTAGGGAATTTATTAGACTCGTTCGCTTCTATTATTTCACTAACAAGTTTATGGATCAGGTAAAAAATATATATATTGAACCAGAGAGGGTAGATCAAGATGGCGGACGAGAAACACCGCCAGACAGAGTGTCTCTGCAGAAAAGACAGATTCTAGTGGAAATTAGAAGAAAGAAGCAAGAAGACAGCCATACATCGGACGAGGGTCGGAAGGAGGGGTACCTGAGACCACAGGAGACTCCACAGGAGGAGGTTGCGGAGGAGAACTGGAAGCAGAGACCTCCGGAGCAGCCTGGAGACCAGCGGGAAGGGTAGGCAAAGCGATAAACTCTCCCCCGCTTGCATCTAGGATTGCTGGGGGCTCCCCAGCGGGTGGAGAGACCTGCAGACACCAGCCCAGAGACGGCCGCCGCCAGTGAGCAGTAAGCCTGTAGCGGACGTGGCACCAGGCTTCCAACTCCCGCAGGCACTTCCCTGTGCACAGACCCGAGCCAGGTGGCAGGCGCCATATTGCCTCATTCTCCCCTCCCCCGACCCTACCCGCGGCTGCCAAGAAAGACAATATAGCCACCAGCCGGAGGCACCTCCAGGGAACGGGACCTTCCCTTTTGGGCCCTACAGCTGACTGAGGGGAACTCAGACTGTGAGCTCCCTACCAGCCAGCCCTCCCAGGTGCTGCTGGCACGGTGACCCCAGGAGAACGGGGCAGACCCTGAGGTTGAGAGACATCAACCCAGCTTGGGCTCCCTGTGGGTGAATTGGGACTGGCACTGCTCCCCCTGATGGGGATATAGTTTGAACTCTGGGGCCCAGAGGTCAGACCTGCAGACCAGATCCCGTGCACCGAGGTCTCGCATTGCCCAGGGCACAGAAGGGATATACACAAACAGCCTACTGAGATGTGTGTGCCTTCAGGGGCAGATCAGTGTCCTAGAGGGCAACCCTCCTCCCAAAAGGAGGCCGTGTGCCCAGCCCAGGTGGCGTTCCTGTGCAGGGAACCTCCCGGCCGGCATCACAGCCAGGGGAGGCCCAGTGGTGTGAGGTCTGGCCTGCTGGCAGAGGCCCAGGATTAGCCATGGAGTTGGGGAGGGTGGAAAGAAGTCAGGCCTGCTCCAGACTGCGGGTCTCAGACAGCCCCACCTCCACACGCAGACTCTCTGACTAAGCAGGGCCATTCCAGCCCCGCCCTGACAGCTTTGCCTGGAAGCAGAGAACAGAACTTTGACCCCTGCTAATGGCATTGGTGGTGCCTGAGGGCAGGCCTACCCAACCCAGCTCTGCCCAGACTCACTCCCAGACCAGCTCTCACTGAGAGAAAGAAAAGGACACACCTGGAAGTCCCAGGGCCCCACCCACCACCTGAGGCACTGGAGTGCCTCTCTAGAGGAACAAGAGCTGACAACAGGACACAAAAACAACAGCATAGCCTGCTCCTCCAAGAAAGTGCCACCTGCTGACAGGGAGGACATTCTGTACACCTTTTTCACGGCACCTACTGACTCATCATACAGGGAGTGGTCGAACCTCACCCACAGACACCACCTACCAGCTCAGAAACTAAACAAGGAGTGTGAATAACCAAATGAAAACCTAAAGGAAAGAGCAACAACTGATCAACATGGGAAGAAATAAGCAAAGGAATTCTGGAAATATGAAGAACCAAACGGAAACCACACCCCCAAAGAGGAGCACCAGCCCCTTAGAAACAGACACCAACCAAAATCAGGCAACCAAAATGACAGAAGAGGAATTCCGAATGTGGAGCATAAGAAAATTCAATGACCTGCAAGAACAACTCAAAAACCAACACAAAGAAACCACAAAAAGCATCCAGGACCTGGAACAAAAATTCACTGATGAAATCGGTACAATGAAGAAAAATTTAACCAAACTCGTGGAAATGAAGAATCAATTCAGGGAACTACAAAATTCAATGGAAAGTCTCAAGAACAGGGTAGATCAAACAGAAGAAAGAATCTCAGAGTTTGAAGATAACACCTTCCAATTAAATAAATCAGTAACAGAGATAGAGCAGAGAAACAAGAGAAAAGAGCAAAGCCTACAAGCGATGTGGGATTATGTGAAGAAACCTAATGTGAGGGTCATAGGGCTACCAAAAGGGGAAAATGACAACACTCAAGAGTTGGACAAGCCATTTGAAGATATAATAGAGGAAAATTTCCCAGGCCTTGCTCAAAATCTGGATATACAAGTTCAAGAAGCTCAGAGGACCCCTGGGAGATCCAATGCAAACAAGAAGATGTGACAACATGCAGTCATCAGACTGAGAAAAATATCAACTAAAGAGGCCCTTCTAAGAGCTGTAAGATGAAAGAAGCAAGTAACATACAAGGGAAAGCCAATTGGAATAACACCAGACTTCTCTACTGAAACTTTATAAGCAAGGAGAGACTGGGGCCCCATTCCCTCTCTTCTGAAAGAGAACAATGCTCACCCTAGAATCTTATTCCCTGCAAAAACTAACTTTTGTATATGAAGGAGAAATCAAGACAGTCTCAGATAAGCAAAGACTGAGGGAATTCACCAAGACAAGACCAGCCCTTCAAGAAATACTCAAAATAGTGTTACTTAGAGATCAGGACAATAAATACTCATGAATGTAAATCTACTCAAAACTAAATATCAAAGCCCAGACACTACAATGGCTCAAGAGAGAAAACAAAGTTCAACCCAACATAATGAACA